TATTTGTTGTTATTGTATTTTATATAGCATGATTTCTCTCCTAAGTATTAATTGTATATATCATAGTTATTCTCAAATTATTTCTTATCAATGCCAGGTTCTTCTTTGCTACATATTACAAATTATATAAATAAAAAGATTAATACAAATAGTGTGTGCATTTCAACTATTAATTTTTTCTGTGTACACTGATAAGCCACAACAATAAAACCACTTGCCTAATAACTTCTAGTTCTCCCTTGTGCTGCTAAAACAGTTAAGATGCGTCAAGACAAGGACTTTACAAGACATCTGAACATGTCCTGTGGTATCTGGCACCCAGGCATTCTTTAAGTCCTGCACGTTACAAGGTGTGGTCTCCCTGGATTGGATTTGTTGTTCCAGCACATCCCAGAGATCCTCAATCGGATTGAGATATGGGGAATTTGGAGGCCAAGTCAACACCTTATACTTTCCCTTATTCTATACTTTCCCTTATTCTTTTCCTAAAATTGCCAAGTTAAGCTTATAGTGAAATATATTTCTAAATTTGTAAGTTTAAACCAAATATTGATATTTGTTTATTAATTCTCTGCTGGTCTAGAGTAAGTGTAAGCATTGGGCAAGGGGTATGGTTGGTATTGCATAAATGTTGGTATACCAAAAAGTTATTTAGATCCTGGACCTATGAGAAATTTAACAATCAGGACTGATATGTGAAACTATTTTGAGTTATTTTTGCTTAGTTCCACTGTATCTCTAAAAATATTATAAGGAAAAAAAATGTAAAAAGTTTTTTCCTACATTTCAAACATTTTATTCACAGGTAATGTTGTATTAGTTATATATATTTGTGTATATGAGTTCATGTGCATGTATGTACATGTGTTTATGTGTATGTGTATGTATATGTGTTCATGTGTTTGCATATACCATGAACAATCTTTGTAGTGTGGCAGAGTGGACTATCCTGCTGAAAGAGGCCACTGCCATCAGGTAACACCATTGTTATGAAGGGGTGTATGTGGTCTGCGGCATATATAGGTAGGTAGTACATTCTATCCCAGATTTCCCAGCAGAATCCAAGTTTTGCCCAGAGCACAACACTGCCTCTGCCAGCTTGCCCTTTTCCCAAAGTGCATCCTGCTGCCACCTCTTCCCCAGGTAAATGACACTCACCTGTCCATCCACCTGATCTAAAAGGAAATCAGAAATGTCTCACTCATTCCTCATTTTTCTATTGCTCAACAGCCCAGTTCTAACGTTCCATTGAAGGCGCTTTTGCCAATGGACAGGGATCATCATGACCACTCTGACTGGTCTGTGGCTTTCCTGATTCCAACAAATGAAATTCAAGAACTGACTGTTCACTTGCTGCCTAATACAAACCATCACTTGACAGGTGCCATTGTAAAAATATAATGTTATTCACTTCACCTGTCAGTGGTTTTAATGTGGTGGCCGATCAGTGTGTATCTCAATATGGTCTATTAAATCTAATTTTACCTTGTGTTTTTACATGTAAATTTAGAGTATTGTGTGTTGTTTTCTATTCTCCAATTAGGTGGGTGCTTAAGTCTGATTTTAGGAATATATATTTTTGGGAATGGGAAATGCAGCTGAATAAAAACTATTGTTTTATTCAACCCTTATCATTGATTTTGGTGGGATAGCTTACTGATTTTTATGGAATAAGAATAAGCTGAGACAGCATATTTATACACATGATGTGTGACATGACAGAGTGATTGTGAACTCTCTAAATTTAAGCATAATGTTTCCAGTAAATGCATATTTTTCCACATATATGTCTGGAGTTTCTATCATTACCTTTTACATGCAGTAAACCGTAAAAATCAAGTAAGAAGGAAAATATTCAGCTTCTTCACTCATATTAGTCCAATGATATACTGAGGGGTCTCTGACCTTTTACAGACACATGTCAACAATTTACAACCTGTCCCTTCTGCTTCACAGTATGAAGTATGCATCATTAACAGCATGAGCTGTGACTAACTATGACTATAGACCACCGTTGGTTTAATGATATATGTAACATCTAACAGCTTTCTGTTTATTGTAGTTGCTCATATAACATTCTTGTACTGTTTGTCATGTTTACTAGCAAGGGGATTCCTGAAGACAACCTCTCTCACCTTATGTAAATCTGACGTAACGTTAGCTATATCTTTACATTTAGGATTTCAAATCTCATTATTATTCATTACATCACTATATATTATGTATGTATATTTCAGTACACTGATACGCACATGTTTGTGCCATTTGGTTCATAGATCAAGTGAAAAGTAACTATTACAAGGAAAAAAGAAGGAACTGTAAAAAAGAATAAAAAAAAAATAAAAAGTATATATATATATATTTCATAATTAATAAATATATACTATACCTTTTCTTTTTTAATTGTTTTTTTTTTTACAGTTCCTTCTTTTTTCCTTGTAATAGTTACTTCTCACTTGCTCTATGAACCAAATGGCACAAACATGTGCCTATCAGTGTACTGAAATATACATACATAATATATAGTGATGTAATGAATAATAATGAGATTTGAAATCCTAAATGTAAAGATATAGCTAACGTTATGTCAGATTTGTCAATTAATATATATAATTATTTTTTCCCCCCTCTGTTGCTCACTTCTCGATCTGTAAATAAAACCAACATTTAGTGGCTGTTTCCTAACCATCTTTTTATTTATTTATTTTTGGGGGCATGGACAGAAGTCCAAATCATGAAACAAGTGAAATGTCTCACTAATTCCTCATTTTGTGTGTTCATTGATTTGATCATATGGATGTTGGATGAATTGCTGATCGCCCAAATTTAGATGAATTGATTGGTTTGCTCCAGAATGAACAAGTCTACTTACCTATACCTATATTTACTTTTTTTTCCATATATGTAATCATAGCAGCCCCAAATGATTTGATTTGTGCCCCAATTCTGTGCATGTTTTAGCATTGGAGGGTTCCCTTGGTTTGAATTGAATGTCATATAACCGAAGGTGAGGTGGAAACTCTATCCTAATGCATTGGCGTTATATGTTTTGCGAGAGGGGTGATCTATGGGGCCCCATAGATGGCGAAAGCACTACCTGGGGAGATTTGTGGTGGTGGTGGTCTGGTACATATACTGTGCAATTAGGCTTTTCATATTAACAGATATCCGTCCTGGGATATTTTAACCTGTTTAGTGCTGGAACATTCAGAGGAGGATTGTTGGTGTTTAACCCATGTGATGGCTGGAAATTCTGTATAAGACCATTACATTGGGAATATATGTACTGGAATTAATTTTATAAATGGCAACTGGCTATTATTTATTACCATTATCAAGTACCATTGTGACATGACATTGAGGAGTACTTATGTGCTTGTGTTTCAATATGTTTGCGCTAACTCATATTTCAATATATTGTTCATGTTTTACATAGAACAAAACCTGAGAAGATTAAAGGATAGTAGCATTTTTGTGTATATAATACAATTTATCAAAGGGAGACATTTACAAAGGTACTATTTAAAGGAGAAGTGCTTCATATTAGATCATATAAAGGAACTCTAGCACTAATCCTAACTCTAACCCTAACACACTAACCCTAGCTCAAAAAAATAATAATAATCATGTCATATAAATTATACATCATGGTGAAGCATGCATTATGGGAATCGGATGCCATTATCGGATTCTGGAGACATTTTACAACCACTTGATCATCAGTCTTGCGGTTTATTATGATGTCTCCAGAATCCCTCAATGACCTTACTTTCCCCAAATACACAATTTACTGTATCCTCTCATTCTCTCTGTGAGCCAAGAGCTGCTCAGTCTCTGCTCTGTATGATGGATTTAGTAACTTTCATCTTGTTATGACTGTTTGTTCCAGATGTGTTGTTCTAGTATTTCCCTCCTGCCATGTGGATAGGCTGGTGTAATAGTGTGGCAATATTTGGCCCAGTAATACTAGCTGCGCATTGCAATACCATACATTAGCATTGTGCCATCCCTTTATGGCCAGAGCCTAATGGATACTTCAGGCATGATACAGCCGTTTGCCGCAAAGTATTTTTATCTCAAGAAAACTCTGTTGATATAGGTTCTTCAGTTTACTCTATTAGTACAAAGTGCTTTAGTTGTCTGTCAAGTGGTTTATGAATAGTTTGACACTTACCTTGCTGCGTCCCCACAGTCCTTCCAGCTTAATTTGGTTTAATAAAGCATAAGTCAATATGTATAATATCATATCAAACTCATACCAGGTGTAATCATTATTCATTGACTGAAAGTGTCAGCTGATGGATACTATATGTCTACCAAGGTAAAGATCAAAATGTTTGTAAAAGGTTTGACAGATTACCATTAAAGGGAAACTATAGTGCCAGGAAAATAAATTTGTTTTCCTGGCGCTACACCTCCCTATAAAAACTGCAATAATTACCTTTGCAGTGTTAAGGGAACTGGTTGGGAATATGCACCCAGACCACTTCAATGAGCTGAAGTGCTCTGGGTACCTATAGTGTCTCTTTAAATTAAGTAACAGTAACATCCCCTGCATGTTGGGTAAAAGTAACTTCCGAAGGGCATACTTGGAAACCAGAATAATCTGAAGGTGCCTTTCCTCGTTAAACTAAATGACAGTGTACTGCAGTAGTTGTGGTGGCTAATGTCCATTTAACCATCTTTGATGTGTAAGGTGGGATTTGCAGTATGTATTAAGGATGGAGTCTGATGATTTTGAGCCATGGTGGATGAAAATCCCTAGTTTCAGGACTTTTTTGCTGAAGAATAATGCGGATAGGCAGATAGCTATAGTCTCTCCTAGCCCAGTAGCTGAAATACAGTGTACAAGTTCATTCTCACACAAAGCAAATTCCATATTAGTAAGTGAATTTAATGTCAGTGCCCTGAGGCGTGAGAACTCCCCTGTCTGCATATTAACAATTAACTAAAGCTTAATAATAAAACCTGGATGTGCAGCTGTAATACAAGGCTGGGAGGGAAGGCAGGGGAAGGAGGGGTCTATCCCCTGTGCTCACTCATACTACTGTAGGCTCAGGCTCCCTGCTGCTGTTACAGGGACTGTGTCTGCTGTGCTGGACACTCCTCACTGCTCCCTTGGAAGTTACAGCTTTCACCTCACAAATCTGGGGAGGGCAATCTCTTCCCACTTTCATATGAATCAGTAATGTTTGTTTAAGTAAAACAGGAGGAAGAAGTACATTTCACTGCAGCAGTCAGGGGCTGATTGAGCACTGCTGTGTGTGCCACCAGTCCAGCTGGAAGGAGCTCTGTTCTATATCCTCAGTTGAGCCCCCTGGCAGTAATGGTTGGGAAGCTGAGCCTGCAGGATGTCCCTGACCTATTGGACATGAAGAGGAAGGGTGAGAGGATGCTGGACAGCCCAGACTCAGGGCTTCCCCCAAGTCCATGTCCCAGTAATTGGCTGGTAACTTCTTCAGCATCTGAGAAACCCTCAGAACAGGACATCATCATCTCTACACAAACAGTACAGGGGGTGAGTACATCTATTTCACTAGGTAATACAGGGGCTGTGTGATCAGGTGTGGAGTGATGTGGATACCAGTTAGAATGTTGTGAGACTTCTCTTAGCCATTGAAGTATCAGCTAGGAGCTCTGTGACTGACAAAGAAAAACAATAAAGGTGATAATGTATGAAACATATGGTCTAACATAGCATATTACTGGTAAAAAAGAAGAATAATCTAAAGAGATCATGGGTACAAACATCTAAGGAGAGGAATATCTAAAGTTTGAGCATCTCTAAAACAAAAATCCTGCTGCTGTTAAATAACTTCAGATGGCTGAATGTGATGAGAGTTGTAGGACACAGCTATAGAATGCTATCTGAGTTTTGGGAGATGTGCTTTGTAAACCGCTGTAAACCCATAGTTGCTTGTCTATTGCAATGTAATACTGTAATGTGAGTGGGTTTCTCAGGCAGACCCCAAGCGCCCTTTAACTATAAAGCCCTCACACACTGTTTAGGAAATTTTGCACAGTCAGCTGCTGTAATTACTGCAGAAAACTCCACAAGCACATATATAACTCATGTAAGGATAGACTTTACATACAATGGCTGCTCTGAGTTGACTGAGAATGTTGGACCATAAAGTCACAGATTCAATAGACACTTTGAAAGGAATGCTTTTATTTTTTTATATAAAAAAAACATTCTTTCTTTTTCCTGCTTTATTTGTATTGCAGTATTTTTTTTTGTTATTTTTTTACATTTTTGTTATTCTTGTACTCACAGGTTCTGGTGATTGACTTAGAAAAGTAATATTTTTGCAATAAGTTATTGCAATGTAATTTTAATCACAGTCATGCAGTGCACTCTGGTATCAAATAATGCGCATAACCTGTGATGGGGACAGGTTGATGAGGCAAGTCATGGAGGTCTAATGGGAGTTCAGGAGAATGGAGACCTCATAGGAATAGGCAGGTGATGTTAGTGTTCTGGTATAGCTGTTTCTCCTTGAGAAAAAAAATGCTAATTTCCCAGGACCTCATCTAGCAACTAGCTAATATTTCTCAGCCAGTCACTGGTGTCTCAAGGCTATCTATTGGAAAATTAGCGTACGTATGTGCATGATTGTTGGACATGTATGATGGACTAATTTCCTATAGCCAACACTTTATTTCTGTAATGTACAATGCAACTCGTGGCCAACTTCTCATAAGATTGTAAAAACAGTTCGGGCAGGTGAATGGAAGTCTCTGGTACCTTCCATCTAATTGTACAAATTGTTCTCATTTGCTGTTTCAGTAATTCTGAAGGATTTGGAGCAGGATATTACAGGAAATATAATTGACACTGGATCTCACACTTTCTTTTGTATGTGAATCAACCAGGGGCTGGAGCTTGTCTGCCATGTTTTTAGTTTTTGTTAAATCTAGACATCATTAACCATCCATAAGTATAAGCACCATAACCACTACAAACTACAACCAAAGAAGGATTAAGATCACACAGGGTTCTAGGCAGGATACCAGTAAGGGGCCCTCCCTTAAAGGAAGTCTATAGCAAATAACAGAACTGTTTTCCTAAAGCTATAGTGTCTGTCTCTTATTTCCTTGGGTCCCCCCCAATACCATCAAGTCATTTTAAAAAGTTGAAAACCCTTTACACCCTTACCTGTTTCCAATAAAGAGGTCCCTTAGTGCTGGATCGGTCTCCTCCTCCAGTGACATCATGACGATAGGGGAATCTGCTGCGCCCACATTAGAGCTTTGAATCAATGGTTTCCTATGTGGATTTTGAAGACGTTGGACGTTGTTTCAGGGATTTAAAATCCGTTAGGATCCAGGAAGTGGCTAGGTGCCATCTTCTAGTTTTTCAAGTGGTTTAACTAAAACTGACCATTCCCTCGGCATACAGAGACTGATCCCCCTGGCTTGCCATATTACTAATGGAGAATTTACACTTGAGCATAAAAGCGAACCTGTCTTTTTTTTTTTAATTCTCGTTCCTTATGCCCCCTGTATCTTAATGATTATACTCATTTGCTTGCCATGATGTCTGTACTTTCCCTTCTTTGGGACTGATTGTACTAATTGATTGTGGGTAAATCTGATTGGCAACGAAACACAAATTTGCTTTAAAAGGACAGTTTAGGACTCATAACAACTTCATCTAAATTATGTTTGTATGGTTTATCCTCACCTTCAAAGGTTAAACTGTTTTTAAACAGTTTAATCCCAAAGTTGCCTCCAGCGTGCCGATCTCAGTTCCCCCCTTGGCGGCATCCGACTTTTGAAATTTCATATTTAGGGCAGGGATGCCTTTGACTGTAACGACTATAGTGCCCATCGTACTTTTAAGGAACACTGCAGGATATTGTTGAATCATGCTTTTTATGCCGTTTATGCATCACATACAGCTGTCTAATTGGAACAAAAAGGTGAACACTACAGGTTGAGAAAAAGGAACAGAAAGGGAGCGCTTGTGAAGCAAAATTAGTTATTGTATAAAAGGGAAAGACGATTACTAACTGTTTGTTAACCTTGCAGCTAATGTATTGATGTATGGAGTCTCCCCTTAAGCTAGATAATATGAATAGCTCCAGTGAAACCTTTATCAGTAAGGTTGATTGTGGGGCCCAAAATTAGCTACTTCCATTGAAACTGTACAATAGCTGCCTTGCCATTGTAACACAGCCTACTACCATGAATCATGTAATCTGACATTTGTATCTTTAAATGCATGAATCACCCAAATGTATCTTTCTAAAATAAACATTTTCTTATATTTATAGAAATGCCATAAATAGTGTTTGAAAGGTATTATGCATTTCAGTTCTCAAAAGGATATTCTGCACACAACTATAGGGTCAGGAAACAGGAACACAAACTTGTATTCCTGATACTACAGTGTAAAAAACAAATATTATGTGTCTGGCCCTGCTTGCCCAATGTTAAAAAGGGTGAACATTCACCTTATTACTGGCTCCGCCTCCTTGGCTGAGATTATCAAATTTGATGATCTCAGTCAATCTAATTCTTTCCATAGGAAAGCATTGTGATGCTACTGCACATGCGGAGCAAAATGCCACACTGTGCCAATTAGCATCTCCTCATAGAAATGCACTGAATCAATGTATCTCTATGAGGAATGTACAGCACATCCATGCAGAGAGTTTCCCTTTAAGCAATAAGACAGTAAATATGAGCCAGTATGAGAGGATAAGGGAATGTTTTAATCACATCACAATTTTGTACTTTATTTGCTAAGCAAACTTGAGAAGCTCATGTAGCAATTAATGTTTTACTGCTACTCAAGTTCAAAACAGGTTTTACCACAGATAACCTTTACTAAAATTGGATAGCAGCATCTGTATATTGAAATATATAAATTGTTATTTTAGGTTTCATAATGCATTAACACGCACCTTTTTTTTTGTGTTCGTTGATGGCGTGTATTGAAAAATCAATTATATGTACATTTTCCTTTTTTGGTTTTCTGCTACATCCTGTTTAAATTCTCATCTCCTGATTTTTATAGCAACCAGAAAACTCCCTAAATCTACTAATATATTCCCCAGGTCCCTTAACACTGCCCTATGTGTCAACCCTTTACTTCCTTAACCTAAGACATTTATCCTGAATCTGTTCTTTTGTTGTGAAAGACACTATTTAAATGCTTGTCATGTGCTCTTCATTTCCCTTCAGGACTACTGTAACTCTCTTCTCACTGCAGTTACCCACATCAATAGACTGTGCATGCTTACTTAGCCATGTTATTTGTGTCCTGCAGCAATTAATTTCAAATCCTGGTAATATATTAAGATACAGATGAAGTAAAAGAATAAACATGTTGTTTTATATTTGTGCAAAAAAGTAACATGCGTCCAGTTATTCATTTATCAAAGATGGAAGTGCTCATGCCATTGTACAGAACACTGGTGAGACCAGGGCCGGTGCAAGGATTTTTGCTGCCCTAGGCAAAAGAAAGATTCCCCGGGACATCGCAATGCACCCATATGATCTGCCATATGAACTAGTGCCAGTGCTGCACACAGTGTGTGTTTACATTAAAAAGCCTGCAGGGACAAACTATAGACACCAGAACAACTTTATTAAGCTGCAGTGGTTCTGGGGACCATAGTGTCCATTTAATGTGAGGTAAATTAGAGATTAGTGTCACTAATAATATACTAGATTGCCTACTTACAATCAGATGAGGATGGTGATGGGCTCTGGCTGCAGTCTGGCTCCACTGGTCTGGTGTAGAACAGGATCTCTGGAGGCTGTTTGTAACTGTGGTCACAAAATTCAATGTTCTGGGAGAACGGGAAGCAGCTCCATTTTTGGGGCCTCTTACATAGCTCAAGGTCTGGGCCCCAGGGCCTGATGGTGAGTATGCCCATAAAGCCCACCCATAAGTCCACCTACATGTTCCACCCATGAGTTCGCTCACAGGGAGTAGAGTGTGTAGGGGATGTGTTATGTGTTACTGTAGAGGATCTAATGTGTGTGCTTATGGAATGTAGTGTATAGGGATACCAGTTTGTGTAGGTGATGCAGTGTGTTTGTGTGTAGTGGAAGCAGTGTGTTTTTGTGTAAGGGATAGAACGCAGTGAGTGTTTGTGTATAAGGGATGTATTGTGTGTTTCCTGTTGTGCACTTCCTGTCAGTCCGCCCGGGTCGCGGACCGGAAAGGAGCTCAGCCACGCTACAGGGAAGGGGAGGTGAGGCAGTGCAGCAGCCGTCTGAGCGCTCTCTATAGAGCGCTCAGGCAGCTGTGGCATTTAAAGGGCCGGCGATGGGGGCGCAGGGCGCCCCCTCCTATATGGCGCCCTAGGCGGCTGCCTAGTTCGCTTTATAGGAAGCGCCGGCCCTGGGTGAGACCTCACTTGGAGTATTGTACACAGTACTGGAGACCGTATCTTCAGAAGGATATTGATACCTTAGAGAGGGTTCAGAGAAGGGCTACTAAACTGGTTCATGGATTGCAGGATACAACTTACCAGGAAAGGTTAAAAGATCTTAACATGTAGAGCTTGGAGGAAAGACGAGACAGGGGGGATATGATAGAAACATTTAAATACATAAAGGGAATCAACACAGTAAAGGAGGAGACTATATTTAAAAGAAGAAAAACTACCACAACAAGAGGACATAGTCTTAAATTAGAGGGACAAGGGTTTAAAAATAATATCCGGAAGTATTACTTTACTGAGAGGGTAGTGGATGCATGGAATAGCCTTCCAGCTGAAGTGGTAGAGGTTAACCCAGTAAAGGAGTTTAAGCATGCGTGGGATAGGCATAAGGCTATCCTAACTATAAGATAAGGCCAGAGACTAATGAAAGTATTTAGAAAATTGGGCAGACTAGATGGGCCAATGGTTCTTATCTGCCGTCACATTCTATGTTTCTATGGTTCTATGTTTCCATCACCTACAGTATACATTACAGATATCATAAAATAAAAATAATGATAATAATAATAAAATAAAAAAACAACAACAACAATGTTTGGAAAAAATAAAGGCTGCATCTGATAAAGAATCTGCAAAATTGTACAATGAAAGTTCCAAGCTTGGAGAAGAGCATGGGTGTAACGTGACTGACTGAACACATGCTAATTACAAATGTTCCAGTATCATTTGCAAAAGTGTTTCTAAATATTCAACTGTCCAGTCATATTCATTTCCACTGAGCAGTGAAGTCGCCGTGCTAAATGGAATTAATGGGGTAAAAATATCCTGATTTCTTTTTTATCCTTATATGTAGTGCAAAAGAAATAAAACAAGATCATAAGAAATGCTTAACTTCCAAGATCGTTAAATTGCACAACTAAAGAAATCGGACTCCTCACCAGGAAAATGATTCGCCAATTAGGAGCCTTTCATTCTGGTCTATTAAGTCTGATCTTATTCCATAAGTCTATAAGTGGATATCAACCAACAGCAGTTGCACTCATTGGATGCTGTATAAATTAATAGCAGCTATGCAATACTATGCCATTGAAAGCACAGCCTGGTCCATGGTTTTGTGCCCCAGGCTCTGTTGAGTGATCGCCATAACTACAAACAAAAAAAAGTGCTCTAGCCAAGTAGTGCATGCGGTATGCATATATTGGACTAAATTATTATTTTTGGGACTCCTTTTCTTTTGCAACAAAATAATAAAAAAGGCAAAGCAAACATTACCGCTTGCATGGCATAAAAAGTCTATTGATGAAAAGAATGTCTTGAAATGAAGCCATATATCAGAACAAACCAGGGGAGACAAATAGGAGGAGAAGGTAGAAGGGGAAAAAGGCTTGGGGGAAGAATTGAAGCATTAGAAGACGAGCAAACTTTCAGAAATGCCGTTTTTAAAATATTTTATAGGTGCAGCTTGCCTTAATTCAAATTCAATAGGAAATCATTTTATTTACTAATTTTAAGCATTATACCTGAATTAGTGAACCACTTTTTTTTTTTCTCTTTGACCCAACAAGAACACTATAAGCTCTGGAATCTGGCCAGTTCAGGCATTTTCATATGGCAGAAATGAATAGCCTTAAACAAGCGTATCCACAACACACACAGCTGTTCATGTCAGTATAGATCTCTTAACATAATATGTTTGCATTACCTGGGGCATTCCACAAGGTATCCCCTTTATCTTTAGCATGCAAGCAATTATATTGTAACTTTCCTCTGATACGTTTTATTTGCTTCACTTCAAATGGATGGTTTTTTATTTTTCCTTGAAAGTACAACAGGGAAGTATAAATGTGTCTCCTTTCATCTTCCCTACACATATGCCACATAATTAACTCTTTAATACGTAGGAGTAAGCAAGCATTTTACTCTGACATGTTCTAGGCCCTGAAGGGGTTAATTTACTTGTCTTACATAGTACTGTAAGTAGGTGAAATGAACACAACTGAACAGATACACATCCTATTACATTTGATTTTGTCTGTCTATACCTTGTTGGCAAAACATGTCAGATTTATTCAGAAACGGTCATAAAAGTATTATTACTTTATTGTAGTACATAATTTAGTCATATATGTCTGTTGGTTTTAGTTCCTTATGGTCCATTTCATTCCATGCTTTCATTCGAATTTAGTCATTTTATACTTTATACTACATGGATTCTATTGAGTATTTGACATCGCACCTCAAAACCCATTATAGGATATTCCATATGAAGAAGTAATTATTCCCTTTAGGGGGAAGGCAGTTGTACAAGTTCTGACCAAAGCAAAACCAACACAAAACAGGGCTTGCCGATTTTAGTATTTACACATTAAAATTTGCCAGATAACATTGCGGGTGAGGGGTGGGTGGGGTTAGGGGTGTTGGCTGCAGACCGTTATGTCGTACTATGCTGCTGTAATGGCATTTAACCCCACTTTTTTTCATGATGATGTTAAACGGTTAAAAGGGAACCATTTTTTTCTGCGGCTTCTTGATGCCTCTTTTTTCATACTTCTTGGGACAATTACCATGGTCCACGTATAGGCAATCTGGAGCATTCCTAATTTTGTGGACTGCATTATGGCTGTTAGAGATTCATGGGAAATGTAGTCCACAACATATGCAGTTCTTGAAGATTGCCTAACTTTGCCCTAGTCTATCATCAATGTGCTGAGTTTAAGCTTAAATTATGCCTGTGGAGAGGCTTGAGATCTATCCTTTTGTCCAGAGACTATGGGTTGTTTATGGACTCGGAGAGACTCTGCCAACCAGCCATGACCAGGGCAACCTGACCACTGTAACATGATTGCTACTGCTAGACTTAATTTGGTGTAGCGCCATCTGTTGCTTTGTTGCAGTTATATGCAGTGCTTTGCTATTCAATCTAAACATATTTACATATATTTTCTAACTGCAGACATAGCAAGCAGAATGCTCTGGTTTTATGGTTAATGTTTCGGTAAACCCCCCCCCCACCCCTTATTACAAAAGCGTTATAATTGATGTTTTTCTGTTGTTGCCTACATATTTCTCTTAAATTTGATGTTTTCCGCTATTTAACTAGTTTTCTAGCAGTAGTTCTGGCACTATATGGTCTTTAGGTCCTCCCCACACTCATGGCCCCCCCTCCCGCCGGGCTCTAGCATGAGGAAGGGGTTAAACAGTTATCTTTCTCCAACGCCGGGCTCCGTCGGCGCTGGGGACTCTTCTCCCTCTTTGGTTGAATGCGCATGCGCGGCAAGAGCCGCGCGCGCATTCAGTCAGTCCATAGGAAAGCATTTCTCAGTGCTTTCCTATGGACGCTGGCATCTTCTCACTGTGAAACTCACACTGAGAAGTGCGGAAGCGCCTCTAGCGGCTGTCAATGAGACAGCCACTAGAGGCTGGATTAACCGTAAAGTAAACATAGCAGTTTCTCTGTTTACAGCAGGCAGGGTTAACACTAGATGGACCTGGCACCCAGACCACTTCATTAAGCTGAAGTGGTCTGGGTGCCTATAGTGGTCCTTTAACCCCTTAAGGACACATGACATGTGTGACATGTCATGATTCCCTTTTATTCCAGAAGTTTGGTCCTTAAGGAGTTTAGCCAAACATGTTAATAGAAAGGTGGATTTGAGGGTTGGGGTGGTTTTTGGTGCAACAGGAAAAATATATCTCTAATGAGACAGAGAGGGGTATTTTTTATATACACCCCTATATACTTATTAACTCTTAGTAGGGAACACATGGGATGCGACAGCATTGTAACAAAGCTGTGAGATACAAAAAATACAAAAAGATAAGTCCTGCGCTCACTCCCATCACTCCTGGGCGGCAGCAACGACCACAGTACACATCAGCCCCAATACATACAGTAAAAACCAAAGAAAAAGTTACCTGCGCTCTCTCCTAAATCCCTATGTATATTTAAACAAATGGGGGTCATTTAGTTACTCCAATGGCCATTGGAAGGAATGCCCGCCTGCCAACGTCAATGCAGACCCCCCTAGGTGGATCCTACACTGACCTTTCACTTTGTTTCCTTGAGCCTCTGGCAAAGATATCTCTAATGAGACAGAGAGGGGTATTTTTTATATACACCCCTATATACTTATTAACCCTTAGTAGGGAACACATCGGATCGGCTGCAGCATTGTAACAAAGCTGTGTGATACAAAAAGTGAATACAAATACAAAAATATAAGACCTGCGCTCACTCCCATCACTCCTTGGCGGCAGCAACGACCACTGTACACATCAGCCCCAATACATACAGTAAAAACCAAAGAAAAAGTTACCTGCGCTCTCTCCTAAATCCCTATGCATATTTAAACAAATGGAGGTCATTTAGTTACTCCAATGGCCATTGGAAGGAATGCCCACCTGCCAACGTCAATGCAGACCCCCCTGGGGGGTGCATACACTGACCTTTCACCTTGCTTCCTTGAGCTTCTGGCAAAGATATCTCTAATGGCTATTGGAGTAACTAAATGACCTCCATTTGTTTAAATACATAGGGATTTAGGAGAGAGCGCAGTAAAACAGTAAAATGTATCATGATGATATCATCTCTAAAAGTGTCATTTGTGTGTGAAAAATACAAAAACAAATAACAATGTTAACTATGGCCAGGGTTTGTGACTAAGTAGCTACTACAAAAGACTGGACATCCCCCATTTTGAATACTTTGAGTTGTCCACTTTTCAAAATGGTTTGCCATAATGGGGTTAATTTTTAACTTTCCAACACCCCATAAACCCTGTACATGGGTGGTACTATTGTACTCGTGAGACATCGTTTTTTGTTTTTTTGCAGTAAAAGCTAACAGTATTATGATATTCACAGTTAAAAATGTAATGCAGAACTTAGTTTCAAAATTTTTAGATTTTATTTATATGAAATTATGTTGATGTAAAATCAAAGCTCTGTTTCTCCTAAACAAAATGGTATATAATACGTGTAGCTGCACTTAATATGAAAAAGTTAATTATAGTTGAAAAGACACCTAGTCAAATGCCAGGTTTGGTTTTGATCAGAACTTGTAGAATTGTCTCCATCCTTAAGGGGTTAAGGTCATCAAATCCTGTCCAAATCAGAAAAATAAAAAAATACAATTTTTTTTTAGTATGTTTTTTTTTCAAAGAGAAATCCAAAAATGAAGAGATTTCCTTTAATACCAAACAGACACTAGTTTGCTTTCGAGAGTAAGGGTTTCCCAATGATTTAACTCTCTAACATTAAAAACGTAAAGAAGAGCACACCTGTTATAAACTCAAACCACAAGTTTAATATGCTTATTATGAGTAGAGTCAGCAAAAGCTAAACATATGCTAAAGTGACCAGATGTTTCTTTTAACACGTTTACAGAATGTAATTGCTGGGCATTATGTCAACGTTTCTGGTTAAAGTTGAAATTTGGTCACCTCAATTTAGAGAATATTTACAATATTGGTTCTGTATAAAAATAAGTGTGCACATTTGTATGCGATTATGGACACAATACATGCTAAGTCTTGCACCTTATAACAGCGAAAGCTTAAAGATTTTTTAAGTCTTTTATTACAAGTCAAAAGACCGATTTCCCAGCCTACACTTAATAATTCACCTTTAACGTGCCGGCTATGTCGTTTTAACTGACAACTTGCACAAAAACTATGTGTTTGTGGGATAGCACTGCAAAGCTCTATTAAACTGGGGACATGATCAGATAGGTGTATTTAAGAGTGTTGCTGCACAGATTTTATAAAAATGACTTATGTTTTGATTTCTTAAGTCAGTTCTTTTAATTAACACTTATCTGCTAATTAGAACTTATATTGTCTCAAATCTTTAATAAGCAGTTGGAAAATGTTTATAAACAATGTTTTCCAATGGGAAAGCATTGGATTGGCTAAAAGAGATGGTGCAAGGGCAGAGCCAAACGCTGTGCTGGCCAATCAGGATCTCCTCATAGAGCTGTATTCTATGAATCAATGTAATCTACAAGGAAAGTTCAGGATGCTGAACATCACTGCTGCATGTTGTGCAGCACTGACCCAGGTACTCCCCCTGCTGTCTGAAAAAAAAAAAAAAAAAACATGTTAAAACAGTGTTAAATTAAATAATATATACTTAGATCATATATATATATATTAATTATATATATGATCTAAGTATATATATATACATACACACATACACATAAATACACATACACTGTCTAAGTGTATTTTAATATTAATATATATATAATTATATATATATATATATATATATATATATATTCATATCAAAGTACACGTACAATGATGCTGACTAAATATATATATAATTATTACCATAAAACCTGTACATGGGGGGTACTGTTTTACTCGGAAGACTTCACTGAACACAAATATTAGAGTTTCAAAACAGTAAAATGTATTACAACGACGATATCGTCAGTGAAAGTGAAATTTTTTTGCATTTTTCACACACAAATGGCACTGACACTGACGATATAATTGTTGTGATACGTTTTACTGTTTTGAAACACTAATATTTGTGTTCAGCGAAGTCTCCCGAGTACAACAGTACCCCTCATGTACATGTTTTATGGTTACAGACACAAATATAAGGCTTGCGTTTCAGTTTTCTCACATTTAAATTTGCCAGGTTAGTTATGTTGCCTTTGAGACCGTACAGTAGCCCAGGAATGAAAATTACCCCCATGATGACATACCGTTTGCAATAGTAGACAACCCAAGGAATTGCAAATGGGGTATGTTCAGTCTTTTTTTTTGTAGCCACTTAGTCACAAACACTGACCAAAATTGGCTTTCAAATTAGTTTTTTGCATTTTCAAATATTAACACTAACTTTGGCCAGTGTTTGTGACCAAGTGGCTACTAAAAAAGACTAGACATACCCCATTTGCAATACCTTGGGTTGTCTACTTTTGCAAATGGTATGCCATCATCGGGGTAATTCTTATTCCTGGGCTACCATATGGTCTCAAAGGCAACGTAACCAATCTGGCGAATTTCAATGTGAAAAAACTGAAAAATGTAACATGCTATATTTGACGCTGTAACTTTCCAAAACACCATAAAACTTGTACATAGGGGGTACTGTTTTACACATGAGACATCGCTGAATACAAATATGTGTATTTTATTGCTATAAAAGCAAACAGTATTATGACATTCACAGTTAGAATGTCACATAGAACTAAAAAAAAATTTAAATTCTTATTTTTCCCCATTTCTTTTATATTTTATTCATATTAAATTATGTTTCACACCTAAATATTTGATATTACATGAAAGCTCTGTTTCCCCTGAATAAAATGATATATAATAAGTGTGGGTGCACATAATATGAAAGAGGCAAATTACGCCTGAACAGACATATAGCGCAAATTCCAGTTTTTGTTTACTTTTTGTTTTGATCACAACGTGTACATTTGGCTCAGTTCTTAAGGGGTTAAAAGGCATGCAGGTACCCAACTCTACTATTACCTCTGATACACAACCCTGACTTCCCACCGGGAATGGACCCGAAAGCGTTCAAAGATCTAATTCAGGACCTATTACACAGACTCCGACACATCCACACAACGGAGGGCATTAAGACACTCAAGAATCTGAGGGGGGACACTGAACACACTTTCCTGATGCACCTAAAATACAAACAGATCCAGAGCTACATCACCTCACTCCCACAGGGACCGATACTACAACGGCTACTACCCCCTTCGAGAACCTATGCCTGGACCCCAACCCACTAGCACATGGAGTGTCTGTACTATACACCCTACTACTAACACTCACACCAATTGCACAACCACGATTCATGGGGAAGTGGGAGGCGGCACTAGGCCATACTTTTGACAAGGCGGAGTGGGAGAAAATTTGCTATCTGACACACCACTGTTCCAGCTTTAGCAAGACACAGGAAACGGCATATAAATCACTGACGCACTGGTACTACACTCCCGCGACACTACATGCACGCATCCCATCCCACCCCCCCAGTGCTGGAGGTGCGGGGAGGAAGGAGGCACGCTCCTGCACATCTGGTGGGAGTGCAAAGATATACATAGAAAGATACTGGGTACTGTACTGGAAAGATATACATCAGATACTGGGTAAGTTCACAGATGACCCCTTCCCACTTAGCCCAGCAGCAATGCTCTTACACCACACCAAGATCCCCAGAACAGCGTATAAGAAATCGCTCACAATCCGCATATTGAACACGGCTAAATTGATAATACCACAGTATTGGAAACAACAGGTTACCCCTCCCCTGAAAGCCTGGTTCACACAAATGGAGGACCTGAGATCCCTAGAGGAACTCCATCACACCGCTAACGACACATTCCAAGCGTACCTCAACACTTGGACACATTGGATCCTGAAGACAACCGACCCAGACTTCACTAACATGATATCGACACCACCATGAATTTAGCCAAAAGACGCCACAAAACCAGAGAGATAGGGGGAAGACAGCTCTCAGGTGTTGTAGCACCCCCCGCAACACCAGCATACCAGTACTAAGGGGACCACTAAACACTAAAACAGACACAAGACGACCAGACACATAGATAACGAGTACACACAAACCATACAGGGACCTACAAAGGGGGGCAAAGACGACAGACGCGGACCACGTGACCCGGGCTGTTACACGACCATACCTCATACATGCCTTCACGTTGGGGGTATACACACATACGTTTCATTGCAAGGGAAAGATGCAAGGGACCTGCAAGTCTGACGACAATGCGGGTCTGCGAGCCTAACTGAATATGCAAATCTTTAAAACTGTTATAGGTTAAACGTAACTGGAGAAGTCCAAGTATTACTGTTAATTAACATGGAAAAACAAACAAAAGATTATATTCACCAAAATATAATATGACGAGGGACCTGCGAGTCCACTCACAATGCGGGCCTGCGAGCCCAAATGTTGATCATTCACATTTTCTAAAGCCAATCCTCGCATTCGCTAAAACCTATTCTCTCGCATGTTGTACACATGTTAATTGAGACCTGCGAGTCTCACTGTTAAGTATTTCCATATTCGTGCAAAACAAATAAAAATTATATTTACAAAAAAAAAAAAGGCATGCAGGGACAGGATATAAACACCAGAACAACTACACTAACCTGTAGTCATTCTTTTGACTATAGTGTCCCTTTAACTAATGTCCAATAACAGAGAAAGAAAAGATGTGAATGAAACATAATATGCATGTTTTTACAGTCACTTGCACCTGAGGTTTACTGAATACATATATTGAGTGGAGTGTTTAAAAGAAAGCAGTCCTTTAAATCACATACCAATGAATATTCTCCATGTATGCCTGAATTAAGTTTTTCAAATTAACATAGAGCCTGTTTTTATTATGATTAAAGCATTATGACTGCTTGCTATTCTGTGATCTTTGGATTAATAGAATTTTGTTGTGCTTTTTTTTTTAGAACTTCTCTCAGTCATTAAACACCCCAAGACTATGTCCTTTGTCCTTTGGAGAAGGTGTAGAGTTTGATCCGTTGCCGCCCAAGGAGATAAGGTAATGCAATTTAATTTCATTCAGTACTCACACGCAATAAAAATGCCACTACACTGACACTTGTTATCAGGGTAAACTTGAGATCGTGTGTAACTGCTGCTTACCTACTGCACTGGGTATAACTCTGAAGATACTAAAACATTTTCAGAATAAAATAACCCATGTCCTTTTAGCTTTTTTGAAAGATATAAATACTCTAGAACAGGCATAAGCAACCGTCGGCACGCCAGATGTTTTGGACTACACCTCCCATGATGCTTTGCCAGCATTATAGGTGTAGAAGCATTATGAGAGATGTAGTACATAACATCTGGAGTGCCGAAGGTTGCCAATCCCTGTTCTAGAAAATATTTCCATTGATACAATTTGTGTCCAATACCAAAATACCAATAAAACATTTCTAACTGACATGCAAGAACTATTTAGTTGGAATAGGTTTTTCCTTGAAGAAATAAATCTTTATGAACAGTATAAGTATATGAAATGGAAAGAAAAACAGTAAAAAGATAGAATCTCTACAAGAATGTAGTATGTGATCATGTGGCAGGTTTATGCCTGTGTTCACTATCTGATTCCTTCATCAACATATCACTTTACATTGACATATTTTAAATGCAAAATCCTGTTATTATAAAACGTGTTCGTTAGAAGAAACAAGAATACATGGTAATTTAAATATGGACGGGGGGTTCGAAAATACACAGCATCAGGTCACATGGCAACAAAAAAATGGAGCATGGGACAGAAAATATGACTCCCTGATATTTGGATCAATCAAAAGATTGCCTTTGCAAAGCTACACAAATGAAGCATGTGTTCCTGTGCTTGCCATACGAGAAATGACTTTTCATCCAGGGGAGGAAAGGGAGATTTAAATAAACTGTGGGTGTGGATGTCTGTGGGTATGTGTGTGTGTGGGTGCGAATGGCTAATTGTGTGTTTGTATATGTGCATTCGAGGGATTGATTAATTATGTGTGTATGTGTGTGACTGATTATTTGTGTGTTTAAGTAGTTATGTGCATGTATGTGTGAGAGAGTTTGATTCATTAGGGGTTTGTTAAAGTGGCTAATTCGGCATGTTCTTATGAGTGGCTGATGTATTGTGCTTGGTTAATTCCATGTGTGTGAGAGAAAATGTTATTTGTTGAAGTATGGCTAATTGAATGTGTGATATTTTTGAATCCTTTTAGTGTCAGAAGTATGCTCAATGCAACTATGCAACATTATTTTATGTCTTCCAGTTAGTCCTTGAATACTCTTCTGATGTTCTCGGCCACTTAGGCACACCTATTAACATTCCTACCAGTTCTTCTTCTTAATATAGATAACTAAATGTACCACATCACCTTCTCAACTCTCTTGAAAAAAGTAGTCACAATGCACAAGTCACTCTTCATAGAGGCTGCAACTCTGGTCTGAGCACACAAAACTCAGTACATCCAAAATTGGATCTGAACATTTGAGTGTAACTACTAGAGGATGTCTCACAGTACACAATAAAGTCACCACGTTCCCTACTCCTTTGCAAAAATAACCTGTACGTAAGAGGAACTGTCAACTCTCTGAAATTTATACCATTGAATAGAACATTCAAAATCGCCTATAACCTGTGTTAGCTTTTTTTCCCCATGAGATTCTCCACTTTCTTTTAAATTTATGTTAAAGTGACACTATAGTCACAAGAAAAACTACAGCTTATTGAATTTGTTCTGGTGAGAAGAATCATTACCTTCAGGTTTTTTGCTGTAAACACTGTCTTTTCAGAGAAAATGCAGTGTTTACATTACAGCCTAGTGATAACTCCACTGGCCACTCCTCAGATGGCTACTAGAGGTGCTTCCTGTGGCAGTGTCGCACAGTGTGCAGAATGGCCACTCAAAGCACCCTCTGCTTTGAGACACTGAACTTTCCTCATAGAGATGCATTGATTCAATGCATATCTATAAGGAAATGTTGATTGGCCAGGGCTGTGTTTGACTCGTGCTGGATCTGCCCCTGATCTGCCTCCTTGACAGTCTCAGCCAATGCTATGTAAAAGCATTGTGATTGGCTCAGAGAAACACTTCTGATAATGTCAGCCAAGCAGGCAGATTAGGGGCAGAGGCAGCAGCTGCAGACTTGAATACAAGTAAGATAGTATTATATTTAGGGAGGCAAATGGGGGCCAGCTGGGCTAGTTGGTGGTTTTAATACTATAGGGTCAGGAAAACATGTTTGTGTTCCTGACCCTATAGTGTTCTCTTAAAGATTTTGCAAATTACATCATAATCCAGTCCATAGGCCAGTCAAAGCCAGGGCAAATATTGCAAACAACAAGGAGAAATAGAACCATTGTTTCATGTTTCCTCTTCTCTGTAAGCTTGCTTTAGTCTGAATACCAGGTGCTAAGGACAAAGTTTATAATACTGATTAACAGCCAGCTAAGATGGGGTACACAGAGGTATCAAATTCTACATTAAATGTATTTTTAACCACATAAATACGTATTAGTTCACTATAGGGATAAGTAAGCATAATACTAAAAATCCTTTCAAGTGATAACTCATTATCATGATCTCTCACAACCCCAAACACCTTAAAATTGTCAATGCTCTAGCTTTTGCCCTGCCACAACCTCATAAACATCACTACTGACAACTCACCAAGCTGCTTTAATGGAAATATGAAAAACATGAAAAGGGAAATCTCTTCACTGGCTCCTTGATTTCCCTCAACACATTTTGTGTCTCTTTCTCTGCCATGAGTATGTACTTTTCGGTTGTTGAAGAGGTGGTTTCTGAACTTATACTAGCATTGCCCCCCTTCATCTGTTCACACAATCTTATCCATTTCCACTTTATGTGTTGCCGTTTAATGACAGTCTTTCACCACGTTTTTTGCATGTTAACAAAGTTTTTGGTTGAGAATAGATATGGTGTACAGAAATGGTCAAGATGTGGACATTTTGATAAATCCATTAGAAAAATAGATCATATCCTAAATACAGTTATATATGCAGTTAACAAAAGCTATTTTTCATTCTTATTCTCACATTTAAACTTGAAATAATTTTTTCTTATCCGCCACATAGTGTGACATAGATCTAGAAATGTCATTATTCCCAGGGAATGAAAATGTAACAGAAAATGAGCTATCAACAAATTCACAATCAAGATCAGTTTAAGGGAATGCATTCTGTTCTTTTGTTCTGGTATGTCTGATAGTAGATCTTAAGATCGCAGTTTGTCTTGTCCCATCTTTAGATACTAGATTCAATATCTGTCTTCTGGTAATGTCCCAACTTTCTTCAACCTTGAACTTCTCATTCGCTTCCTTGCCATCTCTTGAGATAACCTCCTAACTGCTTTCAAAGACCCGGATGATTTATTGGATGCACAATTTTCACACAATTTACTTTTATCTTTCTAATACATGCTCGATTCTTCCCCTTCCCTGTCAATTTCAGATTTCTTCTTTCTCCTTTACTTTATCGTTCAACTTCCTCTCTGTAGCAAACAGTGATAACATGCCCTCTTTATACACAATAATGCATTGTGTATAGAATGTTCTGTTGATGCTGCTTACTCATTCAGCAGACAAATATTGTAACAGAATAGTCAAGTCTGGAGGTAACAACTTGATATCTCATGTCACTCTCTCAATTTTAACCTGGCTTAACAGTGATTTAAACTATGTTACTTAAGTTTTTGAGAGGGGCCCAGTAGTCCAAACCATAGATGGAACACTATAATACATAAATATGGATATGTATTTGTAATGCTATAGTAACTCATTAGGTTTATAATTTTTCTTCTCTTATTTGCTCACATTTAAAATTGTAGTTGTGGATCAAAATATTCCTCCATCAAAATGTTGAACAGAGTAATATTATTAAAGCTCCTATTTATATGTGTAATGTGCATGTGTAAGAGAAAATGCCTTGCAAAAAACACACACATGTTGAAGGATTTTAATTGCAGATTAATACACTGCCTTATCTATTACTATAAGGGACCTTTATCGTCTAATGTATGTATACCTTTTTTTCCCTATATTTCAGATACACATCGTCTGTGAAATATGACTCTGAGAAGCATTTTATTGACAATATCTACATGCCTGTTGGATTGAGTCTTTCTTCCTGCAGCCAAACAGTAATCTGTGTCCCTAATTGCACATGGCGCAACTACCGAGCAGAAATACGTTTTGAACCCAGAAACAAGCCCAAAAGATTCATGAGCACCACCATTGTTTATCCAAAACACACAAAAACTGTGTATACCACCACTCTGGATTACAACTGCAAGAAGTGTATGAGACGGTTTCTGTCCAGTGTAGAGCTGGAATCTACAGAACACCTGAGTAACGAGTGCTTTGTGGATGAATACTGAGTACCCGTATCTTTCTCTAGATTTATTCTCTCAAGCTTTATAAACTTACATGATTACACTTAAAATAATTCGAGAGTCAGGTATCCAAGTCTTTTTTTGAAGGACAAGAGATGTTAAAAATTTGTCTTCTTCTGGACATGTTCTTACTCTGAGCATTGATTGTTCTGATCTTGATAGAACTATGTAGACCTTTTACACAGTAAATCTGTACGGTCGATGCTACTTGTTACCCATTAATCATTGTGCATGCCATAAAATCATCTGCTTTTGGCATTTACATACGTATTGAATATTTTCTCATGAATGGCAAAGTTATTATGTGGGCTATTTCCAAAAAAGAACACCACACAAAGGAACAAAAAAGAATGACTTACTGTTCCTATGAAAAATATATTGGAAAACTTTTTGGACACCAAATACTTTATAAAAGGGAAGAAGATAAAACAACCTTTAATATTTCCAAAAAGAAATGCATAACTTCTGACCAACAAGCCTGAAAACTGAATGTGAAGATTTATGAGAGATTAGTGATTCAAGAAGTGCTGGGTTTTCACTGGATTGAAAGCTCAAGAATTTTTAAATAGGCAGACCTGGTGTATTACTCTATTAAACACCAAATTCTGAAATCAAGATCATTTTGTATGTAACACAGCAGTTATATATTTGCTTTTTCCATATTCTTGTTTCTATAAAAATAAAGCTCTTAACAATATGGCAAACTGCAAAACATCTCTGTTTTATGAACAATGCATTAGTAACTCATATTACAGGGTTTGGAGAATTTTTTTATTTATTTTTTTCAAAATACCATTTTATGTCAGTCTGATCACTTTCATAAAATAAAGGTCACAATTTAAAAATTTTGGATACACTTTTCAAATGATTTAATATCTTTGAGTACATTTTTTAAATTATTTTTATTGATTAAAAAAAATATATATATATATATTAGTATAAAAAAAATCTAAATATTACATTGCAAAAATATTTTTCAGAATTGGAAATTATTGTAAATGTTGATCCAAAAATATTAAATCATTTGAAAAGTTTCTCCAAAATTATTAAATCTGTTCTAAACTCTTTGTAAACTTTAGATTATTACCCAATTACACTAAACTAACACATAGTTTAGATTATTGAGAAGAAAAAAACCTGCCAAACCGTTCACCTAGAACAGGGATGAGGAACCTTTGGCCCTCTAGATGTTTTGGACTACTTCTCCAATAATGCTCTTACAGCCCTAGTGCTGGCAAAGCATCAAGGGAGATGTAGTCTACAATATCTGGAGGGCCGAATGTTCAGTATGAAAGCAGCCACAGACACAGTTTAGCACAACCACCTTTCTGTTTGAGTCATTTGTTCAGTACAAAGCCCTCCATCTTTTGTATAACTAAAATATACAGGTTTGCAAAACATCAATGGATATTTTAAAGGAACACTACAGTATTAACAATAAACAAATTTATTTTCACTGTTGGGGTGTTTGTTTAGATTTATGGATCCTAACTGTCTTATTAATAAAATAAATTCACCTTTTTCCCGCACGAGACAGCCTTGTCAACACAACCTGATCTACCCTCACTGAGATGATCACAACTGATGAACTCAGAACATATCAATGTTTCTCACAGTATTGGGGACCTATGGCTCAGCGTGACAATCTCTGAGCTCAGCCAAATTCCCCTCACAGGCCACCGGTAAGAAGGGAGGGGGGATATATAATACATTTATTTTAATTATTATAAAAAAATATTTCCTTTGACCTGCCTACCTCCCAACACACACAGAATAACACCCTACACATTCACACACTGCCCCCTATACACATACTGCATCCCTCACACAAACACTGTTCCTCATACACACAAACTGCCCCCACACACATACTGCACCCCTCACACAAACACTGCCTTTTATACACACATTACCCCCCACACACATACACTGCCCCATACACAAACACTGCCCCTCATACACACAAACTCCCCCGACACAAACTACCCCTCATACACACAAACTGCCCTACATACACACTGCCCCCCCATACACTGCCCCTCATACACATAAACTGCCGCACACACACTGCCCCCATACACACACTGCCCTCTCACACAAACACTGCCCCTCATACACACAAACTGCACCCATCACACATACACTGCCCCCTCACACACTACACCCCTGACATACACTGCCCCCTCACACACGCACTGTACCGCACACACACACACACACACACACACACTGCCCCACATATAGACTGCCCCCTCACACACACACTGCAATCTTCACACACTCACACTGCACCGCACACACACTACTCGCCACACACACTGCTCCACACATACACACACTGCACTTCTCACACACACTGCAACACTCACACTGCACCCTTCTCACACACTGCACCCCTCACACATTGCACTACTTACACACACACCACTGCTCCTATGCCCTACTACAGCCCCCATATCCAAACAGACCACAGGTAAATTGCCAAACTGTTCTTAAACGGTTTGACTTCTTATTCTTAGAGGGGTCCTGGCACTCCTGGCACCATAACCACTACACAGAGCTGTAGTGGTTATTGTGCCTGGATTATTTATTTAAATGATCTTTACGTGCCCCTCCCGATATCAGGCTGTGGATCCGCCCCTGCTTCTGGGACGTGGATGCTTCTTAAATGTAGATCAAAATGTTTGCTATATGTTTTAATAAATTATACTGCTAATGAATAAAAAATAGAAATAGATTACAAAAGTTAGAAGATACTTAAAGTTAGAAGATAATAAAAATATATATTTCTTGATCTCAACTTTTTTTTTCCAGTGATGTGAACAACAACCATCTTGGAAGTTTGGAAGACCTAGTCAATCCTGGGTATTCCTTTCATTTGTATAAAGAATCATTTGCAGATGTCGAGTACAACTACATGTGCCATGTTCCTCTTGTTAAAAACCAATGGGAAGCAATGGCACATTCACAGGGCAGCCATATGTTAATTTCTGTACTGAATGTGTAAACCGGCAAGAAAAAGTCAGAGAGGCAGGATATGCTTTCAAGTAGATTCACAGATTGTAGTTATTGAACAAGCATGTGAGAACTGACTGTTGCATGCATCTCATTACCCAGAATGCAGGTTTATGATCAAACCATACATTTCTGAAAAAGGGCTTTGAAAAAAAATTGGTGTTTTAACAGTATGGTTTTAATGAGTAATGTGCATTTTAGAAAAGTTATTTGCTGAAAACCAACAACACATCTAATTTCACTATGCTGCTAAGAAAATGGTAACTATTCCGTGATCTGCCAAACACACTTTTGGAATGAACAAACAGAATGTCTTTCACTGATATGTAGAGGTGCAGGCGCACATATTATTTCCTGTGTACATGTGTTACAAAACATAATGCCATTGGTGTCTCAGCAGTAGGCAACATAATGAGAAATCCAGAATTATATTTTAAACAGATTTCTACATTTATTTTTTTCTGTGTCTTTTTTTTCCCTTTCCCCGTGTCTGACAATGTATTTGTTCACGAAGACCCAAAGGACAAATGAACAGCTAGATATTGCAAAAACTGCTTAACAGGTTTAACAGCAGGGCCAGTCCAAGTCTACTGACACAATACTGTAGACAATCCACAAATATCCTTAGGAACTGCAGATTCATAAGTTTCTCTGAAGTTCTACAGTTGACTTTGATGATGCCGAAGAAGATGTTAAAGTGAAAGGTTCTCCTATTTCAGTGATGCCTAAATCCAGTCCTATAGTGAAAAATTGAGTATACAGGTATAGGTAAAGTTAGTTGGCTAAATAAATAGAACAATTATAAAGCTGCTGTTAGACTGCAGTGTTTGACTATTTTTGATCACTCTGTCCTATTTAGCTTATGAAAACCCTCATAATATTCTAGGTGATCTTTTACTGAAACAAATACTGCTTGTGCAGATTTGTAAAGAAGAGAATGAGCTATATATTCAATGATGCCCATATTTATGCAAAAATAAGGACTCTACAAAAGCAAAGAAAAAAAATCTTTATTTTTCAACTGACTGTGGAATGGATTTCTGTTTTTGATCCTTGTACGTGACACGGTCAACCTCCAAATTTGTTCCTTTCAGTATGGTGTGCTTGCTCTAAGAGAAATAATATTTAGCAGAGGTCCATTGGAAAGAGCAAATGAAGATCATCTCTTACATAAGCTGAAAAGAGGCATGTGTCCATCAAGTTCAACCCTCCTCACATCTGTTTTCTGCTGTTGATCCAAAAGAAGGCAAAAAACACAGTTTGAAGCATTAATTTTGCAACAAACTAGGGAAAATTCCTTCTTGACCCAGAATGGCAGTCAGATTTATCCCTGGATCAAGGAGCTATTACCCTAAAATTGTAAAATTATATCCTTGAATATTATGTTTTTGTAAGTATGCATCAAGGTGCTTTTTAAACATCTGTACAGACTCTGATAAAACCGTATCTTCAGGCAGAGAATTCCACATCCTTATTGTTCTTACTGTAAAAAAACCCTTTCCTTTGCCTTAGACTAAATCTAATTTTCTTCCAGTGAAGGCAATTTAGTCTATTTCCAGACAATGGTTTGTATTGGCCCCAGATATTTTTGTATAATGTTATCATATACCCTCTGAGGCACCCTTTTTCTAAACTAAAGAGGTTTAAATTTGTTAACCTTTCTTCATAGCTAAACTGTTCCATTCCTTTTATTATTTTGTATCCTGCCTTTGCATCACTTCCTCATCACTTCCTCATTTTGTAGTCGCCTTTTCTAATCGCCTTTTTGCACACATTATCGGCTTCCTTACATTTTTTATAGGATCCCTCTGATTTGTCCAATTTAAAGGTTTTAAATGCCCTTTTCTCATTTTTTATATGTTGATTTAGGTTCAGACTAAGCCACATTGGTTTTAATTAGTTTATTTTGTGTTTATTACCCAATGGTACATAATGAGAAAAGTACCTTTCTAATATTTGTTCGAAGATATTCCATTTATCCTCTGTGTTTTTTTCACTAAATAGTTTATAGCAGTTAATATCTGGTAACGCTGCCCTTTTATTATTGGAATTGGTGTTTTTAATATGATAAGTTTTAGTATACCCCATGTGCATTTGTTTTTTTGAGTTTATATCAAAGGACACTATATTGTGATCACTATTTCCCAAATGCTCACCTACTTGAATATTGGTCAAAAGATCAACGTTGTTTGTTATAACCAGATCCAGATAACAGTCCTTTCTAGCTGGTGCTTGTGCTAGTTGTGACTTGAAGGTGTCATTTAACAAGTTCAAAAACCTAATTTCCTTTGCTGAACTAGTCCCTCGGTGGGCGGCGCCTGACCGCTTAGCTGCACAGACGTGGGGGACAAGAGCTCCTGCTAGGTGGGCAGAATACAGGGCACAATCGACGGCTACATAGCCCACAGACACATCAGGGTGCACTACCCCCATGTCGGGGGTACACTCCTGAATCGAACGATACCTCTCTGGAGCCTGTCGGGGCCAGGGGAACGAAATGCCAGGTGCGGCCTACTGGAGTTGGAGCCGGGGAGGGGCGGCTGCTCTCTCCGACACCGGTTCCCCCCCCAGAGACTTTTGCTGGTCTCCTAACCCTCCCCCCCCCCCGGACCGGTGGGGGTTATCCCAGTCCCCACTGGACAAGCAGATCAAAACTGCAGACTGGTTCTTCCAGCCACACAGCCTGCAAAGGAACTGGACTGCCGATGCACATTCAAGATGGCCGCTCTGCAAGGGCCAAAGAGAAAGAGCACAGCCACCCATTCACCCACTCACCCCCTGGAAGCACTTGACTGGCTCTGCTTGAGCTTCTGCA